CAGCCTCCCTGGCCGTGCTGCAGATGCCAAGGTGTGTCCCCCGTGCTCCCCGCAGGATGAGGACGGCCTGGTGCGGGGGCTGTCGGTGCTCTGCAACCTGGCCAACCAGCTCTACTACCCCTGCGAGCACGTCGCATGGGCGGCTGATGTCGGCATCATCCGCGTCGGCTCTCAGAAGTGGTGGACTCTGAGCACGGCGCTCTGGGCCTTCTCCCTGCTCCTGGGGATCCTGCGGTAAGGCTGGCTGGGGTGGGAAGGAGACAGGCAGGGAGTGAACTGTATTCCCTATGATTGGGCTGAAATGAAGGACCCTCTCGGCTGCAGGTCCTCATGGGTGCAGTTAATGCTAGAGGAAGAAAACCCCTCCCCTTTGATGCTATAGGGGAAATAACTCTGTTTTCAGATCCCTGAGAATCTTGTTCCAGTTAAGAAGAAAGCTGAGGCAGCACAAGTGGTACGTTTTCCCTCCTTGGCTATACAGCTAATTTCACCCAAATATCTCTCTTCTCATTTGTGAGCTGTTGCTAATTATTATTCCATTATGGGCTATCACTAACGTTATTTTTGCTTCCAACAGTACCTCTTCGCCTCTGACTCGAAAAGAAACAAAAGCCCAAGTGAAGGCTGAAGTTTTGAGCATCCTCACAGACCTGGCAGATCTCTCCAACGCAATCCACTGGCTGCCGCCAGGATTTCTTTGGGCTGGACGCTTTCCTCCGTGGTTAGTAGGGCTCCTGGGGACCATATCTTCCCTGATTGGTATCTACCAAGCACATAAAGGAGGAAATTCCGAAGCTGTGTAAACCACAATTAAGCTTCAGGAGCCCGATTTTTACACGGTAAAAATGTCATTAGCGAGGCAAGGTGTATTTTAATTTTCTTGTGTGTTGATTCTCAACAGTGAGGTCTTGATACTCTTTATCCTCTGCCCCGTCCTTGCTGTTTAGCTGGACCTTCACCCCGTGGAGTGCCAGGTCTGCTGCAGACGATGCCTTCCTGACTCTGCTCGGAATTTGCTGTCAGATTTACAGGTTTTTTGGTACAAATCTTGGGTGTTTTTTCCAATTCTTGGGTGTTTTCCCCAATTCCATGCATCCTGTAATTGGGACTGTAGTCAAGATGTCTATTACAGAGAGGATTGTTTGCGGTTAACAATTTTTATCACTTTTCATCAGAGAAATCTTTCAGGTGAATCCTCTGAAAATCAAGAAACCTCCTAGGACTGATAAAATAGAGGGGAAAAAAGTCACTTGCATCCTTCCTTCCTATGTCCCAAAAGACAAATACAACCTCCAGTCTTCGTTGTCACTTAAAAGAGCACAAAATCAGTGTTAGGCGGAAAACCAGCCACGGTTCTGTCACACAAAACTTCTAAGGGACGAATCATGCGAGTTCAAGCTCCATGCTCGGCACTTGGTGCCTCATCTGAACCGGGGAGGTCACCGGTATCGTGGAGGTTTCGGAGTTTGAGCCCAGAGCAGCCACCACAAGCACAAACAGGAGCAAGCGGCTGAGGGAGGTTGTTGGGTTATTTGGTTTTTGACGGTTGTGTTTCTTTAGAAAGAAATAGCGACTGTAAAGCGGTGCCTTGTGAAGCTTTTTTCTAGTTGGTATTACTCATTTAAGGAGAAATATTGGAAATTGAGACTTCCCGGTTAAAGCAGCCCGTGCTGAGCCTCCAGCTGTGCCTTTACGGAATGCCACCGGGTGGAGCTCTTCCACCAAGCTCCAGCAGCAGCCAGCGGACTTTTTTTAAAAAAAAAAAAAAAACAAAAAAAACCCCAACCCAGCAAATTTACTAATCACCGTTCAAAGGACCAGTCAAACCCATGCCAAGATGAGTTTTACAGTTATATTTCTAGGCGGTGCCAATAATAAATGAGACGAATGCTTCAAAGGTGGCCTTGAGTGATCATTCTTTCTGATAACTGGGCAAATGTTCTTTATGTGGTTCTAGAAAGCTCCGAACAGTGCCTAGGCAACAGAGAACGTTTGTGCTGTGCTGGCTGCAGCTCCCCATCTGTTACCAGCCTGCCTTCTCCCGAAATAATTTGGAGTACCCAACTAACTGTCATTGAGATGCATCTTTTGACAACAGTTCCGCTTAGTCTGCGTGGTGTTTGTGCTCTCTGCAATGCAGTATGACACAGACCGTGTTTCCAGGAGGTTTCACCTTTTTTGTGTGTTTTGTTTTCTTTGGCACAGACAGGGGAAACTATCTCTTGCCTGCGTTCAAAGAGCACAGCGAGGTCTTGATACTCTTTATCCTCCACCCCGTCCTTACTGTTTAGCTGGACCTTCACCCTATGGAGTGCCAGGTCTGCCGCAGATGACGCCTTCCTGACTCTGCTCGGAATTTGCTGTCAGAGTTACAGGTTTTTTGGTACAATTTGTAGTGCAGGCAAGCATTTATCTGGAAGAGACTCTGTTTTTTCTCTAGTCATGCCACAGATCTTGTGCCCGAATGGTCGGAGCACCTGGGTCCTGCTCCTTGGGGATGGCTGTGGTGGCTCCTGCTGCAATTTAGTGGATTTTAATAAGAAATCAGATTCTGTCTCTTTGTATTCTTAACCTCATTACACCGGTTCTTCAGAATGTGCTCTCCTGCTTAGCACAGGACAAGGTGTAGCTGTGGCGATTTAAAAAAAAAACAAACCCAAATACACACACTGGTGCCAAATTAGTAAAGCTCTAAACCATGCTTTTAATTTTAGCATAGAGAAAAGATGTTGTGAACTGGTCTAACTGCATTTGCTTTATCCACTTCCTCATCAAGCGATTTTTAAATCAGCTGGTGAAGCACAGGACAAACTGAAACGTGCACAGATAAAGCAAAACATGGTAATTCAGAATTTCTGAAATTTGTATTTTCTGTAGAATGGTTTTGGTCCCCATTGACACGTAATACTTAAGCACGTATGATGGCTGCTGCTGCCACTTGTCCAGGGCAGTGGTCGCTCTTTTTTAGCGCAAGACCTTGTGCGGACAGACCTGATCCAAAACCCGTGGGTTTTTCTCTTGTTTTTTCTTTCCCACCGCCCCCCCCTTCTCTTTTCTGCTGCAGCCATCAGCCCAACTCAGCTCCTGTTTGCCCCACGCAGGAAAACATTTGCTGAGCAGGGATGGTTTGTTCCGGCCGTGACCTCCCTTTGTCAGCAAACCGCGGCTCAGCACCCCGGCTCCTGCTTTTT